AGCAGGGCCAGCCCCGATGGCCTAGCGGTTAAGTTCAGTGCACTCCGCATCAGCAACCCAGGTTCGGTTCCTGGGTGTGGACCTACACCACTCGTCAGTGGCCATGCTGTGGGGGCGGCTCACATACAAAAAGAGGAAGATTGGCACAGATGTTAGCTCAGGGGAAATCTTCCTCGGCAAAAACAAACAAACGAAAAGAACTCTAAGTAGCAAACTATGGGGGACCAAAGGAAGAAATAAGTTATATTTTATGAGGGGGGATAGATGGGTTCAGAGAAATTAGTATCTACAGAATTACAGTATCTTTCCAGGTCCTGAGATCAGTTTCTTTCCGGGGAAGTTGGAAGTTGGAGGAGAAGAGTAAGTAGCACAGGCATTCACAGCTATAGGAATATTCCAGCAAAGGCTCCAGAGTGTGGATGTGCACAGTTCTCTGCGATGGCTTCAGCACTGGTCTGAGGGAGGTGTGTGGTGGGATATGAAATAGGACTTGGTTTGAGTCACTCAGTCACTATACAGTGACAAAGTGCATTTTAAAGAAATCCTGTGGCATGATTTGCCCAATGGCTCCCAAATACTGATGCACACTATAATAACCTGGAAAGCTTGTTTGAGAATATATAGATTTCTAGTAGTCACACCAGACTTTCTAAATTGAAATCTCTGGGGCGGGGGCCCAAGAATTGGTAAGTTTAGCAAGCTACCCTGGTGATTCTTATGTATTTATTGGCAGTACACAAGATAGACAGAGGTAAGTCTTGAAGTCAGAAAGTAAGCTAGGGATGACTGAAGTACTCTAGGAGGCAGAGGAAGAGGGCCTGTTGAAGAGGGAAGGACAGAAGGGTCAGAAGGAAGAGGGGCAGGACAGAAAGATGGGAAGATAAAAATCTATTGTGAGGATATAGTTGACAGGATTTGGAGACTGAATGTTGATTGAAATAAATCATTCACACAGTCTTAAAGAAAAGGTTAATGCTTTAATGATTCACAGATCTGGTACTTTCTTTGTAAGTTACAGTACTGTCCTATACTTTAGAGCAATTGTATCTAGAAGAGAGTTACACTGCCTGGAAACAGGCTACAAGGTATTTTCACTCCAAGTGCCACATAGGAATATGAACAATAGATGGCACTTTTGTGCCATGTCTGAATTTTCTTTTTTTTTAAAGATTTTATTTATTTATTTTTCCCCCCAAAGCCCCAGCAGATAGTTGCATGTCATAGCTGCACATCCCTCCAGCCGCTGCATGTGGGACGCGGCCCCAGCGTGGCCGGAGAAGCGGCGCGTGGGTGCGCGCCCGGGATCCGAACCCGGGCCGCCAGCAGTGGAGCTCGCGCACTTAACCGCTAAGCCACGGGGCCGGCCCTGAATTTTCAACCTTTGAAGGGAACTAACCTAGGAATGACTCATGCTAAAATAAAAACAACGCTTTATAGTGCTCAAGAGGATAAATTTAATTTCTGATTTGGGGGGGATCTGGAAAAGGAGGGCTAATTCAAGGATCAGTTTGCCCAACTTAGTACTGGCCTCCAAAGATACCTTGTAGATTTCCAAATGTTGTGAAATATTGTGGCCCCCATCCAGATTAATAAATTTGCAGTTTGGGGAGGTCCCAAATTACTGTAGCAAGTAGAATTAACTCAAGCAGACTTATGTTAGAAAAAACATCCCCAACTTTGGCCACCTTTCCAAATGTCCACCTCCGAGCTTTTGCTATTTGCAAAGGTAAGGAATAACAAAAAGGAATAACATCAAATATGGGAGGCCGTCCCGGTGGCATAGTGGTTAAGTTTGCATGCTCCAGCTGGGGGATCGGAGGTTCAGATTCCAGGCGTGAACCTGCGTACCACATGTCAAGCCATGCCGTGGAGGCATCCCATATAAAGTAGAGGAAGATGAGCATGGATGTTAGCTCATGGCCAGTTTCCTCACACACACAAAAAATCAAATATGGAAAAGAACCACGGGAGGAGCAGCTTGGAGTAATAAATGTGGACAGTGGAATGGAAATAAAGGAGATATTATTTTTTTCTTTTTGTAAAACTTACTGTTAAAACCTTGGCTAGGATACAGAATTTTACATATTTACAATATGGTTGCATTCATGCAAAAGGCATCATGACTTAGTGACTAAGAGAGTGAGGTCTGGAGGCACTCACAGAAATCCAAAGCTCTATACTTCCTAGCTGCGTGCCTGGGGCAAGTGACTTCATGCCTCTTCATGCCATTTCCTCATCTGTAAAATGGAAGTGGTAGTAATAATAGCATCTCTCTAATAACATCCTCATGAGAATTAAATGTCAAAATTTGTAAGGTACTTAGAAGAGTACCTGGCATGTAGTGAGCGTATCACAGGCAGTGATCAATTTGTAAAAGTCAACTTTTAGGTGATGGGACACTAGGTGATTTTTTTCTTCTATTAAGTAAAAACTTATATTTTTTGATAATTGGAAAAAGTCAAAAATTTTTTTTACTAAAAGACAAAGATCTGTACTTAAAAATCTCTCTCTTTTCTTTTGAACTAGTTTCTACATCTCTGACTTTTTCTTTTTCTATTAATCTGCTGTACCCAATTTTAGACATATCTTGGCTGTGAGAAATCCTGAAGTCTTGGTCATTCCTCAGAGTTTCCAGAATTATTATTATTTTTATTGTGGTCAAATATGCATAATATAAAATTTACCATTGCAACCATTTTTAAGTGTACAATTCACTGGCATTAAGTACATTCACAGTGTGTGGCAACTATCACCACTATCTATTTCCAGAACTTCATCATCTCAAACAGAAACTCTGTACTCATCCCATTAGGCCATAACTCTCCCTTCTTCCTTACCTCCAGTCCCTGGTAACCTCTATTCCACTTTCTGTCTCTATGAATCCAACACCCATTCAAGGCATCTCATATAAGCAGAATCATACAATATATGTTCTTTAGTGCCTGACTGATTCACTTAGCATAAGATTTGCAAGGTTCATCCATGTTGTAGCGTGTTATCAAAATTTCATTTTTTATGACTAACAGTCCATTGTATGTACGTATCACATTGTGTTTATCAGTTCATCTGTTGGACATATGAGTTGTTTCCACATTTTGGCTACTATGAATAATACTGCACATGGGTGCACAAGTATCTATTCAAGTCCCTGTTTTCAATGACTTTGGGTACACACCTAGGAGTTAACTTTTTGAGGAACTTCCAAACTGTTTCCCACAGTGCTATACCATTTTACATTCCCACCAGCATCCAGCATTATTTTAAAGTATGTCAGGCTTTTTAATTATTTATTTTATTTTATTTTTTTGGTGAGGAAGATTGGCCCTGAACTAACACCTACTGCCAATCTTCCTCTTTTTGCCGAGGAAGATTGTCCCTGAGCTAACATCTGTGCCCATCTTCCTCTAATTTGTATGTGGGATGCTGCCACAGCATGGCTTGATGAGTGGTGTAGGTTCGTGCCTGGGATCTGAACATGCAAACCTTGGGCCGGTGTCAGGCTTTTTAAAAGCAAACCTAGATTGGGAATAAACACAAAACTTAGAGTCCTGCCATAATTTGCTGACAAGTTGCTGGTATCAACAGTCTTGATGCATTAGTTCCTAGACTAGAGCAATGTTTGTCAGTGCACACAGCTGAGAGTCCCATGGTACTCATTTAAGGGACTTGTTACATCTGTAGGGCCCGGGGTCCCACCTCATATATGTTGAATCAGCATCTTTGGGAATGAGGTCCCTAAATCAACATCATTCACTAAAATGAGAGACTCAGAAACCCAGATTGTTGCGTTCTAGATTGTTGAGGGCAGGGGAAATATCTCAGTCACCTTTGTATCCCTCAGAGCCAAACATAGAGCAGATATTCAACAAACATACACTTGAATTAAACCAATACTGCAATCTAAGGCTATTTCCTATCTGCTTAATTCCTATATATAGTATTCATTAAAACTAAATTCTATCACTGGACAACTAGTTAGAGAACCTGTAATTAAGGTGTGTAGTATATCTTTCATTTGCATAGAACATGTATCTTACCAGCTGTGGTCTGTTATGCCATCTTATGCTGCCAAGAATCTTTATTCTATATATAATTTTCAGCTGAGTCCTTCATGCTTCGAGGCAGGGTAGAAAAGGATATGAACTTGGAATTGGAAGAGCTGTCTCTGTGTGTTCTTTGACAGTTATATGTAAAATATCTAAGAATCAAGTTTATAATTTGTAAAAGTAAACTAGCAAAATTTTGTAACTCTATCAACTTCATAGGGTTGCTGAGGCTCAAATGGTATTATGTGTAAGAAAGCCTGCTATAGAAATGGCTATAGATATTATGTGGCCTGATAATTTACACAAAACAAAAAAGTATGTTTCTTTCTAAGTCTTCCTAAAGACTTTAAATATGCTGCTGTATAAGTTTTCTGCTCTAACACATACACAAATGAGCGGATTAGAATAGAAACACATAGTAGAAAAACATTAAGTGGATGCACAACATTCATTCATTCATTCATCACGTTTATCCAGCATCTATATTTACATATCAAGCAGGGCACTGTGTGAAAAATACTGATTAAATAAATTCAAATCTGTCCTCCAGAGGTTTAGTTCCTTTGCATATAATAACCAGCAAGCTGCCCTACTTCAAATCAAAGCTCCCTCCCCAGTGACAACAAGCTGTCCCGCGTCCGTCTGAATTTCGCGGGCGCTGTCCCTTTAACGTGTAATAGAGCTCTAATTGCATCGATCACAGGCTCATTATCCACTGCCTCCCGTCGGTCTAATTCCCATCCCGGTTACTACCTTCCTTCTTGGCGTCAAGCCGGGGGCAGCGCGAGTGTTAGTAAACGCTGGCTTTGGTGTGCGGTCGCACCTGACCCCCGGGCGTCCCTCCTGCCAGCTGGCGGAGGCCTGGCTCTCTCCCGCGCCGGCGGGGCCTCGGGGCTCGGCTGGCCACGCCTGGAGCGCGGGGTTTGACTGGGCCGCCGTTGTTGTAGTGACCGGGAGGCGCCGCAGCTCCGGGCAGACGGTTCCGGGCGCCGCACGTTCCCCCCTTTCCCCCTCCCCTCCTTCCCCGGTTCCCCCACCAGCAGGAACCCGGCGCCGCCCGCTCCTCTCATGGCCTCCGTCCCGGTAAGGACAGGCTGGGGGCGCCTCCGCAGAGCCGGTCCGGCGGGCTGCGAGGCCAGGCCGGGGCCGCGCGCGCACCTGGCGGGAGGTGGAGGCAGGTGTCCGCAGCCGGGTCCCGAGCCCACCTCGCCCGGGGCGCCCGCGTCTCACCCTCCGCTCCCGGGGCGTCGGGAGCGCCGAGCCGGGCTGCCGGGCCTCCTCCCCGCGTCCCGGAGCTCCGGCAGAGCCCGGCAGCCCCGCGGCCCCGGAATTCTCCGAGGGTTCCCGTGGAGCGCCTGCGTCAGAATCACCTGGGAGGTCTTGAAGAGTCCCGCAGCCGGCCCCGCCCTGGGCCCGCGGGCCCGGGCACGAGCGTTCCAGACCCGCCGCCCGGAGGCCCGGGCCGGGAAGCGCGCGGGGAGGCTCTGCCGGCCCCGCGGGGAGGTCGGCGCCCGCCCGCCGCCCGTGTGGCCGTCCCCGGGCCGGGCCCCCGGGGGAGGGGACGGCGTGGATCCCCGGGCCCCCGGTGCGAGATCTGCACCCGCCCTCACACCTCGACGACTTTCCTTCCCAGGAGGACCCGGTTCTGGAGCGGTACTTTAAGGGCCACAAAGCTGCCGTCACCTCCGTGGACTTCAGCCCGAACGGCAAACAACTGGGTGAGTTGTGCTCTTGTTTTTCCTGCGATGAGGCAGCCGCTCTCCCGGGCGGGAACCGTGGCGCCCGCGGGCCCCGCGGACGGTGTGTGGCCGGAGGCCCGGGGGCACGGCCCGGGGTCACCCCGGCCCCCAGCCCGCCCCGCAGAGGCGCCCGTAGGCCAGGGCCTGGCCGCCGACTTGCGCGAACCAACCACCAGGAGGCGTGAGCGGGCAGGGGAGGGGTTTGTCGTCCGCCCCGGGAGGGTGGGGTGTTGGCGAGAGAGTTTGTGGAAAGTTGTGAGAGCAGCAGGAGGAAGTGGGGAGAGAGGGGCTGGGGCTGTGCTGGCGGCCGGGGACCGGGAGGTCTCAGGTGGCCCCTGGGAAGCATCTGTGGCTGGAAGGGAGCCGAGCGCCTGCATGAACGGAGGGACCTGCTCGGACGGTCGCTCCTACCTGAGCCCGGGACTCCAGCTGCAGGTCCCGCAGCCCTGCCTCTGCGTGGTGACTCCGGTGACCGCGTCTGCGCCCAGCCATGAGGATCCGGATGGCCGCGAGGTGGACCTGGGCAGGCAAAAGCTGCCTGCTGCTGGCGCTTTTAACAGTGGCCTATATCCTGGTGGAGCTCTCGGTCTCCACTTTCCATGCCTCCCCAGGAGCCGGCCTTGCCAGGGATCGGGCACCAAGACAGCTCTCGGACCCCGGGGAAAAGGCAGAGGATTTGTCTCGGCCGCTGTATGAGAAGCCCCCTGCGGATGCCCATGCGCTTGGGGAGTGGGGGAAAGCCAGCAAGCTCCAGCTCAACGAGGGCGAACTGAAGCAGCAAGAAGAGCTCATTGAGAGATATGCCATTAATATTTACCTCAGTGACAGGATTTCCCTGCACCGCCACATTGAGGATAAAAGAATGTATGAGTGTAAATCCCAGACGTTCAACTATAGGAGACTTCCCACCACTTCTGTTATTATCGCTTTCTACAATGAAGCCTGGTCGACGTTGCTCCGCACCATCCACAGTGTCCTAGAAACTTCTCCTGCCGTCCTTTTGAAGGAGATCATCTTAGTCGATGACTTGAGTGACAGACTTTATTTGAAGACGCAACTTGAAACTTATATCAGCAATCTTGACAGAGTCCGCTTGATTAGAACAAATAAGCGAGAGGGGCTGGTTAGGGCCCGCCTGATTGGGGCCACTTTTGCCACTGGGGATGTCCTCACTTTCCTGGATTGTCACTGTGAGTGTAATTCTGGTTGGTTGGAACCACTGTTGGAAAGGATTGGGAAAGATGAAACAGCAATTGTGTGTCCTGTTATAGACACCATTGATTGGAATACTTTTGAATTCTATATGCAGACTGGGGAGCCCATGATTGGTGGGTTTGACTGGCGTTTAACGTTCCAGTGGCATTCTGTCCCCAAACACGAAAGGGACAGGCGGAAATCGAGAATTGACCCAATCAGATCGCCCACCATGGCTGGAGGACTGTTTGCTGTCAGCAAGAAATATTTCCAGTACCTTGGAACATATGACACTGGGATGGAAGTGTGGGGAGGTGAAAACCTCGAGCTGTCGTTTAGGGTGTGGCAGTGTGGAGGTAAATTGGAGATCCACCCGTGTTCCCACGTGGGCCATGTATTCCCCAAGCGGGCACCGTATGCTCGGCCCAATTTCCTGCAGAATACTGCTCGGGCAGCAGAAGTGTGGATGGACGACTACAAAGAGCATTTCTACAATCGGAACCCTCCAGCAAGGAAGGAAACTTACGGTGATATTTCTGAAAGGAAATTGCTACGAGAACGGCTGAAGTGCAAGAGCTTTGACTGGTATTTAAAAAATGTGTTTTCTAATTTACACGTTCCAGAGGATAGGCCAGGCTGGCACGGAGCTATTCGCAGTATGGGGATCTCTTCTGAATGTTTGGATTATAATTCTCCCGACAACAACCCTACAGGTGCTAACCTCTCGCTGTTTGGATGCCATGGTCAAGGCGGCAATCAGTTCTTTGAATATACTTCAAACAAAGAAATAAGGTTTAATTCTGTGACAGAGTTATGTGCGGAGGTTCCTGAGCAAAAAAATCATGTAGGAATGCAAAATTGTCCAAAAGATGGGTTCCCTATTCCAGCCAACATTATTTGGCATTTTAAAGAAGACGGAACCATTTTTCATCCACACTCAGGACTGTGTCTTAGTGCTTATCGGACACCTGAGGGCCGACCTAACGTTCAAATGAGAACATGTGATGCTCTAGATAAAAATCAAATCTGGAAGTTTGAGAAATAGAAGAGTACAACAGTACTTTTGTCCTGAGCTGACAATAGCTTCAGGAAAGTCGGAGCCTTCAGAGAGCCTCAGGGAAGATTGTATTTTATCAGAAATCACCCACAGGTCATCTGTGAGAGCTCTGTAAAAGCTGTGGTTCGTTTGGGTATGGAATACTGAAACTGGGTGCCCAGAGAGAGTTGCTGTTTAATATTTCAAAGCGCCTTACTTATGGGTTGTTTTATTTAAGAGCCTTGTCGATATGGTTTCTTACTTCTCCTTAACGAAGTTGACTGTGAATAGAAATACACAAAACATTTACGTGCCAGCCTTAATATTAAAGAATGTAAAAATCCAAGCAAAATGTGGGATGATTTATGTTGATGGGTAAGTTAACTGCACGTCCCATTTTTAAACAAAACCTGTAAATGTGCAGTTTGAGCTGTTTCGCTTGTATCTATTTGCTGTTTTGATTGTACACAGAATTTAAATTTCTTTTAGCCAGCACATTAAATTTTAGGTTTTGTTTATTTTTTATTCTAATTTTCCTTTAATCAAATAGAAATCAAAGAAAGTTGATGTTAAGGAGAAAGGCCTGGTTTAGATATATGTGTCACTGGAAGAGGGCATGAGTTTGAATGTGAGTTTGGATGTCTTTTTAGCATATAGACATCTCAGAAAAATATATCCACATCTGAATGGAATGGGGAGATATTTACATTGTACACTTTGTAAACTTGAGCTATTGGACTTAACTGATCTATACTGATACCTCAAATGGCTCTGATTTTGTAAGCTGTCCCCTCAGTGAACTTGCTTGTGTGTGTAGGGTGTTTTCTGATTGTACTTCCTTAAGTTATGAATGTACTGGAGAGGGACTCATTCAGAATACTGTGCTTCCCTTTGTTAATGCTTAATCACTTAAAGTAAACACAATTGAGGGCTCTCTGAAGTTCAGCTCCACTGTGTTTACTGAAACGTGTGAAACTGAAAGTGGGCCCAGTTCTACAAAGGCTGTGGAACTCTTAGAGCAGTTCTTGCTGAATAGGACATTTAAGGATTTATCTTAAGAAGACAAGGAAGAAAGACTGCCTTGGCAATGGTGAATGCCGCCTTCCAGCATGTTTTCAGCACCTAGCACCCGAGCCTGGCACTCAGGCGGCTTTCAGTGAGTGGGTGAATGAATGACTGAATGAATGAATGGCTCAGCCTAGGAATGTGACTTTGGTCAAGTCATTTGACCAAATGACTCAGTTTGGGCCTCAGTTTCCTTATTTGTAAAATGTGGGTGCTGGACTAGATCTCAAAGATCTTTTCCAGCTCTGAAGTGTTATAAGTGTACATTACACCTGTCTCAGATTCAGTTGCTGTGTCATCTTGACAACACTTTTTATCTCTTCACCTTTAACATAGGTATGTTGTTCAGTCCAGTTTTGAAGTGGAAAAGAGAAATGGTTTTAAAAATTAATTGAGCTGAGCTCAACTGACATGGTTTATTTCGGGTTGAGTGGAAAGTTGTTGTGGTCAATGTTTGTATTCATTTCATTTTGATAATTGTTGAACCAATTTTTGTTTCTATCTTTAATCTTTCAAACTCTAAAAGTAATCTTTTGGGCTAAGAATGTAAATATTTCCCAAACTCAATTATTTGAGAAGTAAACATATGTAAAAAAAAAAAAAAAAAAAAAAAAAATGTAAAAAAAAAAAAAAGTATTTTTACAGGTTTTATTCCAATGTTATACCCAGAAATCACAGGCTGAGTTTAGAATTAAATCTTAATTAATTCACTTTGGTCTAAATTTATGAAAAATGCATGCTCCATAAAGAATTAGTCCACAGTACTCATAAGTAAAAAATTTTTTTGGTGTCTACTTGGTGACTTGGAGAGTAGGAACTTTGAAAAATCTGAATTAAAAAAAATTTTTTAGGATAACCATTTCAAAAAGTAAAATTGCTATGTATCTTGAATACTTTGTTTCTCCTTTGCTTCTTAAAATGAAAATGTGTTAATAACTTTCACTGAGTTATCTAGCACCCTTAAAGTTTATCAAAGAATTGTCCAGAATCCATGTACAATGTGCCTGGCCCTGGGTGTAATTTAAGAAGAGTTTATAATAATGCCCTGAATTTTGCAAAAGGGTTGATTGGCAGCAGATGTTTTCCTAAACCCGCCCTCTCCCCTTGCTCAGTTCCCTTTTTTTTTTTAAATCACCCTTTCTCTTTTTATTTATTTTTGTTGTTCTTCTTAGCCCCCTATGAAATGGGAGAACTAAAATGGATATATTCTGTAAGTACCTATTGGAATTATTTTTATTCTCTTATCTTGCTCTTCCCGTCAAAAGAGAAAAGGAGCATTGAAAAGTAAAGTACTTAATTCTTTTTTTACCTTTTGCCTAAATTGCAGGGTATGACCCATTAATCTTTTTGGAAGAAATTTTAGGTTAGTGCTTTATTTATATCAATAGTTCGGAATAGGTACGCTCTTCATTCCTCGCAATAGTGTAGATATCAGAAGAAGGAGACTTTTGCATTTTCATATATAGGCATTTCCAATTTAATTCCAAAAACATACTGTAAAACTACAAACAAAATATATTTTGATTCCCTACTTCTAATTTCTTGGTACCAAAGCTCTCTTTTGCTGTAGACGATTGAGTTGACCTTTTAAGTTAATTTACATGCTTAATAACAGTTTTAGTAAGATATTTGGTAGACAAGAAGTTTCAACTTTAAATAGTCTCTATGTCATTTAGTGTCCAATTCTATGAATAGATTGACTATCTAAATAGGCATTTTTAGCAGTCATTTAAAAAAAAAAGATAATCTAGGCATCTGCAGGATCTCTAACTCAAAATAACTTGTTTATAAAAGAAAATTTGTCTACTCACCCAGTAGTAGGCTCCTAAGTATTTATTATATGTTGGCGAATCAAACTTTTCTAGGTTGAAGACAAGAGGTTACTTTTAAGTTGTGTAGTCTTAGTTGCTTTAGGGTCTCAATTTTAATTAATAAAATACTTAGTTTTGACTTGTTTGTTCTTTTGAATTGCTGTTTTAATAATATTTTTAAATGAGCACAAAGAATGTTGAGGTTCAGATTAATCTCTTTTGAACGATGAATTTTTTTCTGTGTGATGAGTGGTTTCCATTCTTTTTTCCTTTTGTTAATGGTATTTGCAATACTGATTGACATATAAAATAAAATGTATGCCTAATTATTTTTGCAAATGGATTCTGATGATTTTAGTCTATGGGATTACTGTTCCTATGTACACATTTATTGATGATAACAGAAGTAAGTTAAGCTTGTAATTCTTTTGCTTATTTGAAAATGCAGACAGTAGAATATAAAAAACGTCAAATTTCCTGTGTTATTTTGCACTGTGTCATTAACCAGTAAGTATTCTGAAGTGTGTTAGCACTGTTAATGCAGGAACTACTCATAAACAAACTGGAAATGATCGAAGGATACTATAAAAGAAAGCAAGTGGGCACCTGGGCACATTAGCACCAATTTCAAAACCCTGGGCTGAAAAGAAATATGTCTGCGCTTTAAACTGCCTAGTCTTACACTTCCCTCACCCTTCTCTCTGCAGCAGCCTGTCCCTAAGTACAATTCCTGTCCACCAGTAGCATATCTCTTCATCTTTAGTGATTCCTGCCTAACATCCTGCACCCCCGCCTCTCCCCGGCCTGACACACTTCCTGAGAGTCACCTGCCTGAGGACTCCTTTATCCATCAGATGTCTTATGGCCTCATTTAGGATGTACATAGTTGAGCTAAACATATTCACTGATCTCTTGTTTTTTATACGGTTTAAAAAGTTACTATAAATACGTGTGTTATAATGTTGCTCTCTTACTATGTGACTGCAATCCTGTGCAAATCATTTCATCTCTCTGTAGTTTCAGTTTCATTAATGTGAAAAAAGACTAGAAAATCCGTAAAGACAGTACATTAGTGGTTGCCAGGGACTGGGGGAGGGAGAAATAGAGAATGCAAATGAGGATGGGTTTTTTTGGGGGGTAGAGATGGTGATGAGAATGTTCTGAAATTAGATAGTGACAATGGTTGTACAACTTTGGGCAACAGTGGGCAAAACACTGAATTACACACTTTAAAAGTGTGAATTTATGATATGTGAATTATATTTCAATTAAAAAAAGAAAACTTCAAGGGAAAAAAAAAGGCTAGAGAATTTCTTGTGTCCCAGAAAAGATTTTTCTTTTTTTTTTTAAATTTTATTTATTTATTGTTTTCCCCCAAGGCCCCAGTAGGTAGTTGTATGTCACAGCTGCACATCCTTCTAGTTGCTGTATGTGGGACGCGGCCTCAGCATGGCCGGAGAAGCGGTGCATCGGTGTGCGCCCGGGATCCGAACCCCGGCCGCCAGCAGCGGAGCGTGCGCACTTAACCGCTAAGCCACGGGGCCGGCCCAGATTTCTTTTTCTATGTCCCTCTGTGCATACTAGACTTTAAAACAGGCCAGCAGTATTTATTATTAATACTTGAGTAATTGTGTAATTCAGCAGAATTAAGGAAGTTGGATATATCTGTGAATCTCCCAGCTTATTATTAGGCTGCAGATGGAAATCAGTTTGTATTGGAGTTTCTTCTAAAATTTCAGGAAAACCTCAATCAGTCCTTTTGAACAGGTGGTAGAAATTATTATAAAAGGTGAGATGAGTTCTGTCTATGAAGACTAGAGAAGTCCTTCCAACTTGCTAATAATCGGATACTCCTTTTCCTTTGGTGCCCAGCTTGGTCACTTTCCCAGGTTGGCCTGGTCCACTGCAGGCCAGCGGTGTCCTCAGCTTTCTGGACACCATTCTAACCCATTTATTTGCACTTATCTGATCCTGTTCAAAGGGGAATGGGAGGTACTCTATTTATTTAGTACTCCTTTATTTAGTTAATGCTTCTGTATGCCAAATGCTGTTCTGTGCTTGGGTATACATACAGAGGTGTACAAAACAGGTGCGCTTCTGGAGATGATATGAAGAATTCACAGTCCAGTGATAGAGACAAATATTAATAAGTAAACCCACAAATCCCGTGTAGGTACAACTTGAAACAGGAAAATAGTTGAATGCTGTGAAGAAAAGGAACAGGGTGCTTTGAGGATGATAACTGTGGTGACGTACTTAAGTTTATGGGGCCAAAGAACACTTCTCTATGGAGGTTATATGTAACTCAAGACCTGAAAGAGGAGTTAGCTAGGCAAAGACTAGAGAGAGAATATCATATGCAAACACCAAGGGTGGGAAGGAGCTTATCCTTGATCAAGGAAATAAACGAAGGCCAGAATGGGTAGAGCCTGTAAATAAAGGAAGAGAGAGAGCTTTGGGAGATGACGCTGCAGGGGAAGGCAGAGGCAGCTTGGGCAAGGGCTTGGAGGCTATAGTGGATTA